AGAGATCCCCTCTGACTGCAGAAGGGCTCTTTGAAGGGGAAAGGTCTTCACGAACACACAGTTGTGGTGAAACAACCAGCACCCAAATGAAAGGGCTCTACTGAGGTTTTACCTAACCATGCAAAGAAGCAATGGCTGACCTGTTAATGAGAGTACAGACTCTGATTAAGGGTTAGGATATTTCATTCCCTTCCTAACAGGCTGCCCAGAGAGGCTGTGGATGCTCCATCCCTGGAGGTGTTCAAGGCCAGGTTGGATGAAGCCCTGGGCAGCCTGGTCTAGTATTAAAGGTGAAGGCTGGCAGCCCTGCATGCAGCAGGGAGGTGAAGCTTGACAATCCTTGAGGTCTCTTCCAACCCAAGCCATTCTATGATTCCGTGATCTCCATTTAAAATCCAGGATGGGACCTAATAAAGGAGTTTCAACACCCTCATCTACCATGCAAACATTCCCTCTCTTAGCTGCCTCCTGCCACGCACAGCCCTGGCAGCCCTGTTATTGATCAGACGGATGGAAATCAAACAAACAGCAGCCTTAATGCTCTAAGGATTCCTGCAGGTTGGGCCCAGAGCCAGTTATATCAGCACAGAGACTTAATGGGTTTTAGATAAGGCCCCCAAAGGCTTCAGAGAGGATGGGAAAATAATAAAATAAAATCATAGCACTTTCTTTAATGCAAGTTTGAAATTACCTGCAGCATCACTGGCAAAACAATAAATCAATTACAGGCCTGGTAAAGACTGACTCGGTGTGAATGCTATCAATTGCTTTTTCCCACTGAAACACAGTACAACAGTTCAGGCCATGACCACAGTGCCAACCTCACCTGACAGCAACACAGCCATAGATAGGGAGCTCCTGCACACAGGTTTTAAGTGCAAAGGATTTTCTTCCCTTATCACTCTATCTTTGCTTTTTTTTCTTGGCGTTTTGACAGAGCTGCCTTCAGTTCCATGTCAGCGTAACTCACAGCTGGTAAATTTTAACTGGAAGTTGGAAAAATAAAGCTGTAAAGCAACAGATAAAGCCACGCACTGCTCAGATAAAGATCAGTGTTCCACTACTGCCTGTAATTCAAGCTGTCTTTCAGGCTGGACTCTGCCCAGGTGGCTTCCCAAGGTCTGTGCCACACCACTGGCGTTCCCAGCAATGCTTTCCTTCTTGCTGCAGCCCTGAAGTCACAGCAATCACTGGGAGAAACCTGGAGCTGCCACCACTCAGTGCTCCTTTACACCCCCTCAACTCCAGGCTGGCACAGCATCCGTGAGCACAAGAACCCATTTCCCAAAGCAAACAGCTTTTTCAGATGCCTCTGATTCAAAATAAGAAACATCCCCCAGAAGACGTTCCTGAAGAACAGCATCCAGATGCTGAAAAATCAGTTCAGAGCATCTTAAATTGGGCACCTAATTGTACACATCCCTGCATTCATTGCCATTTTGGTGTGACACGTGGCTGTGCTACAGGCTGCTAGCAGAGCAGGCTGCACCACACGAGCTTTCAGCTGCAGGCTGCCCTTCTGCATCAGCATTTGGTCCCTTGTGAGATTTCACCACTTCTGTATGAAGTGTGTATTTAAATGTGTTTAAAAATACAAGCCTATTGCCACTTCACCAGCGTACTTCCTATTCCTGCACAGCATTTCCTACTTCTCCTTCTGCAGGGCATTAGTAAGACCAGCTCACATCAATACCTGATCTATTTTTTGCCTCCCCCTGTTGTTGTGTTTTTTCGCTTGTAAGAATACTTTCAATTCAACTTTTTGGACTCAAATTAACTCACAGCTTAACAAGCAGGAAGAAAAACAGGGAGCCCACAGTGCTTGCTGTACAGAAGCTCAAGCAGCCAGCAGGCTTTGCAGGTCTCAATGCTCTGCACGCATCCCAGATATCCTCCTGCTCCTCCTTGCTCCCACACTGCTGCAGCAGACCCAGGTGATGCTGCAAGAAGACATTGTCCCAGGGGGAAAGTCAGTTTCAAACACATCCTAATTCTCTATTACTTAACCCTGAGCTGTCGCCATTCAATCCCTTGTGAAACTTCCCATGTAGAATTACAGGGTTGGTAGAGCAGTGCTTCCTGTCTGAATGGCCTTTCAGCTCTCCCAGCAAAGCTCTTCTCACCATTGCTGGAGGGCCGCTGCATCACCACCAAAGTTCCCTTCTTTTAGACCAAGCACAAAACCCTGTGGCATTTGGGAAGCACTGGCACCACTGTCCCACACTGTGTGACACAACCCACGTTATGATCCAGCACACCTCATCAGTACTCATGTCCAGATTTAGCAGAGAGAAGAGACACCCCCTGCTGTGTCTGAAAGGTAATCCAGTTCCAGCACACAGAATGCACACAAACACCCTGGGACTCTGATGAGGATTCTCAGTGAGAGAGAGATGAGCCCTCCAACAAAACCTTTTGCATTTCAGAAGACAATTATTGCTTTTCTACACTTTCTCTGACCTGTTTCCTACAAACTCGTATGAGAATTAAATGCTGGCTGTAAAATCTCTATAGGCTTCCTTTGTATTTCCTACCAGAACCACATTATGCCACTTCCACTGTATTACACAGAGCTCTTCAGCTCAGTTCAAATAAAGCCACACTGCTTCAGGAGAGCCTGCAGCCACCCCGTACCTCTGCTGGCCTTCTCTCTTTTTTCATTCAGATTACACAAACAAATCCAGAGAGGAGCAGCTAGGTTTGAATTGCTCCAAAAAGGGAGCATCACTCCACACTGCAGCCACAGGAGGAGCCCAGCAGCATCCTTGAGGCTGCTCGGGTTTGGTTGAGGACCACAGCTGCTGGTGGGAAGCTGGGATGCAGGCTGGGATGCAGGCAGGATCCTGCTGCAGCCACGTGGAATAGCAGAGGGAGGTGTGGGTGCAGCAAGGTGTGCTCACCTTATCATATGTTACATTTGCTTGTTTGAGTCAGGGATGCTGCAGGTTTGTGAAGATCTGACCAAACGCAGAGCTGTCAGGGATAAAAAGCCCTAAAGCCTTAAGGCTTTCATACAGTCAAGGGATGGGCTGTATATACAACCTGCTTATATATACCCACACATCCTGCCCGAATTTTGGGCACAAATGGGGTCCTCAGCATTAAATATCTGTGACCTCGCTCCCCTTCCCTGCAGTTCCCAGCCGATGGCAGCAGGAGGCTGCATCCAGGTTGATAATAGATGCGTGTAAACAATAGATTCAATAGTGGAAGCTGAGTGAGTCACTGCATTCCTGCATTCAAGTTGTGTAACAGGATCCAAAGGCAGAACGAGGACCAGCCAGCGGGCCAGCTAGATAATGACAATTATTCTTGACAGGACCCAAAGAATCCCCAAAAATGAGTTCAAACATACGGTATGCTCACAAAGAGCAATCGGAGCAGGCAGCACACATCTTCTGCTCTCCTGGGATGGCTCTGCCACTACTCCAGCACTGCTCATCAAATGAAATAATCCACGCACGTCAGAGCAGAAGAGTTATACCGATGAGATCTGTGTGCCTCCAGTTTAACCGACTGCATTTACATAACAGAAAGACACAGGAAAGTTCTCAGAAGAAGAACTGAATTCCCAGTGCAGAAATTCACACGTGCCCTTTTCTCATTATTCGCTCGCACACTGATTTGCTTATTTGCTGTATCTTTAAACAGCAAGAAAAACTTGTCAAATCACCACTGCAGAATACAAGCATTAGCAGTTCTTAACACTTAGATTAAAACCCTCATGAAGGATGCTTCGCATCGCTCACTATTCAATTGGAGATATTTCCTCCAGAGAGAAACGCAGATGACAGAAGTCAACTATTTTAAAGATAATCAGAAACATTCCGTTATTGAGTATTACAGAAAGGCGCAGTGCTAATTAACCAAACTAGACAAATTAAGGCTTAAGGAACAAGCAGAATACATACGGAGGAAGGGAAGAGTTCCCAGAGCTCCCTGTGACGCTGGTAAGGAATGTCTTCAAGCAAGAGGAGGAGGACTCTGAATCAAGTATCAGGTCTTGCTTCATCGTTGCTGATAAAACCCAAAATAGGGCTGCAAATACATTAGCTCCTATCGAAGCCTGCTTACTCAGTACAAAGCGTCAAACACACCTTCATCCCACACGCAGCACGCAGATGCTGCCTCCTAATGAAGCATTTGTTGCAAGGGGGGGAACACCGTTACACAATGAGCAGAAGGCTGTTCCACCATGCAGAAATAAAGCTGGGTTTTGGCTCAGAGAAGGGCAGCAGTGCCCGGGAACTGAGGGTTCCAGGGAGAAAAATAGGCCAAAATTATTAAAAAAAAAAAAAAAAAAGGGAAAAAAAAAGTAACAAAAAGGAAACAACCTGAAGCATATGTCCCCTTCCTACAGAGACATTTCCACCCACAGATCTATTATATTACATAAACGCAGAGCTCCCCATCCGCCCCAGCACTACATCACTGCAGTCCCTGAAGCTGACAGCAGAACTGGAGCAGCACCCGTTCAGCCTGGGAAGCGATGCTCTGATTTTAGCAGCTCTCCTACCCCGAATACACACTGCCACAGCGTCTGGGAACATATTTGCATTCACATGCTGAAAAAGCACAGATCCTTTAAAACATATTTAGGAGCTGCCGAGACACGATGCACATATTGACTAATCCCACGGGCCTTGAGAAAAAACTTCTCTTCCAAGAAATCTATTCTTACCACACAAACAACCCAACATCGCTCTCCTTGCAAGTAAAACTCCTTGCTCTGAACTGCAGCCTTTCTAACGTGGCTCTAATAATCAAGACTTTCTAATAAGGCTCAGTGCACTGATGGATCTTTCGTGCAACCAACGCTCATTGCAAGGCGAGTTCTCCAGGAAGCCTGATCTGCTGGTTGGCGACCCTGCACATAGCAGGGGGTTGAAACTAGATGATCATTGTGGTCCTTTTCAACCCAGGCCGTTCTATGATTCTGTGACTCTCCTGAAACCTCCCGCTCCCCATCTGTGCAGGAAGAGAAGCGGTCGCCCCATTACCGTCCTGTGGCTCCATGTTGCTCTCTCTGGAAACAGCAGATTCCTCCGTCCCCACGCACCAGTACATTCTGGGTCTCAGTGGTGAAGATCCAACAGAGCAAACTTTCTGCAGCACCTCCGACTGAGCGTTGTCAAAGCTGAATGTCAGCTAAATGCAGGGCAGAGCGGCTGCTACCAAACGCCGTCCTGATGGAGCATCGTTTACCCTGGTTGAAAATCAACAGCAAAGCAAATTAATCATTCCGGTATTGATATCACAAGAAGTGGATCCCTATGCACTCCAACACAGCTGCCAAAATGCTGCTTTGAAGAAACGCGCTATGCAAATGTGAACACAATTATTTGCATAATAGCTTCATTAGGAGTGTAGTGTGAATTAAGAGGGGAAACCAACAACATCTCCACTACTGCTCCCAGTTTTCCTCCACCAAAGCTGCCGTGCCTTTGGGTGGTGCAGCTCCACATTCCCCACAAGCTCTGTGAAGGCAGAGGGCTGAAACAATGAAATGCAGCTGGAAAAATCCTAAAGGCAACCTCAGAACCTTTCCCACCCACAACGACTGCAGCTCTGGTGTGAGAAGCTGGAAAACACTGATGCAGTCACTGAGACTACAGAAAGAAGAGGGCTCAAAGAGACACAGCAGCTTCTCTGCCCACTCCTTTTAGAGAAGCCCACTGCTCTCAAAACAGCTTCTTGAAATGCATCCTGCACGCAGGCAGAGCTTAAGAGCTCTCATGCTGGCTGCTGCTGGCTCAGGTGCTTCCGTGGCATTTCTACCTTCTCACCTCTTCCAATCTGCACACCTGTTTTCTCCCTTTCCGTGCCTCTTCCACAGAGATTAAAGACAAGGGCTGACTTTGCAGTCTGTGCCCAGCTGACACCAGCATTCCTTCATTTTCTGCTTTCAGTTTCGGTCTACAAACACTTCTCAGATTCAACACAATGACCTTTTTCACCTTTGATCCCTATTAGATTTTCTCATGCCTGCTGTGCGATGCTGAGGCTTGGACCAGAAGCCCTCATTGAACAAAACACACAAAGCACCTCCTGCTTTGGTAAGGAGAACCCAGGTGTGTGGATGGCTTCCTGAGCTGGAGATGGGATCACTGATCCACCATCACTACCCAAAATCTGCCCGCTCCTTCCTCACTGCATACACAGCACTTTAACCACAAACCAAGTGTTAAAAAAAAAAATAATCACTGAATGCTTCATCAGCTGTTTCTAGGCAAGTGTTTGAGTTTTAGGTGCATTTACAGCAAAACTTAGCTTCTGATGATCCCTACTACGTGTGTCTGGCTCAGCGCTGGGCAATGGGCAAAGCCACAGGCTGCAGTTTGGTGCTTGGGAGCTTCTCAAAAGGTGGGAAAAATGATTTGGGTGATCACAAGAAAAGGGAGAGGGCTGCACGCAGGCACCTTCACAGCCATCCAACAGCTGAACAGTTTTGCAGCCCTAATTCCAAATGGACACAGGTGTGCAGACACAGCCCAGCATCGTGGCCTCCAAACATCAGAGTGCAAGTCAGGCACCTGTAAGGGGCTGAGTTTGGAAACTTTCACACGGAGGGGATGAACAGATGTTCTTCACATACAGCAAAAGGAAAAGCAATAGCACAATTTCGATCATCAGTTCCCTTTAGCTGCAGCTATGGCAGCAAGCATTGAGCTGTCAGTGCACCGCTCTATTTCCGTATTTCGGGGCTTCTGTGTCTACTAAAAACACCCCCACAGCGCTTTTACCTTAAGCAAGATGCACCCAACTGTAACACGTGCAAATACCACGTCTCGATTTGATGCAGGGAGAGAGAACTCCCGGAAAAACGGCGCCGTGTGGGTCCTCTGAGCTCCGCAGAACGCCACACGGGAGAACGAGCACGAGAACACAGCTGGGGGAGGGCTGCAACCCCATCACGCGTATTCCCAACGCCTCTCCTGACTCTCCATCACCGCGTTTCGGTGAAGCGGAGCCCCTGAGGGAACAACCACGGCAAAAAAAGCACGGCAGATCGCACGACGGAGAGCGAGAAGAGGAGGCACCCGGTGCGTACAACTCACCAGGAAGCGGGACCATCGATCCCAGCCAGCAACGCGAACCCCACGTTGCCCCCAAACTCCCGGGCAGGCTGAAGCGGCGCGGGATGACAGCGCGGTGCCGCCCCGCACAGCCCCCGCTCCGCCGCCGCCCCGCGCACACGCAGCGCCCGCCGCCCCCGCTCGCTCCGCAACTTCGCTCCCAACTTTCTTTCCGAAGCTCGTTCCCCGCTTCTCTCGGCATAGAAAAGCCCCCCCACGCACACGCACACCGCTCCACCCGCCCCGCAGCCGGTGCTGCGCTGTGGCACGGGCAGCCGTACCTCCTGCGTCCCGGGGCTGGCGGCTCTCCGCTGCCACCGCCTCCTCCTCCTCCTCCGGCGCCGGCCGGCTGTGCTGCGCGGGAGGCGGAGGGAGGAAGAAAGGAAAAGGAGCGGAGCAGCCGCGCGGCGCCTCCTCCGCCACCGGCCGCGGCTGGGCCCGCCCGGGAGCCGCGGTCAGGGCGCGGTCGGGGCCGCGTCTCGCCCGGAACCCCGCTGGCTGCTCGGGACGCCCCTCAGCGCCCTTCCCCGCCGCGGGGCACGGCGAGGACCGCGGGGCTGCCCCTCTGCCGGGCTCGTTCCCCACACCCATCGTTTGGTGTCCGCCCTCTGCCTGGGTTCGCCCTACTCGTGCTTACACCGCTTTAGTTTTTGCGCGTTCTTTTTCTTCCTGAAATACACCGGAGGCGGAGGGGCCGCACCGCCATCTCTCAGCCGTGCGGGTGCTTTGCTGCTCGGATTTGTGCCCGACGGCCGGCCCAACCCGAGATCTGTTTTCTAAAGGCTGCTCCTCGCCCGGATCCCGGAGCTGCTCCTCTCAGGAAAAACACAGCAGCATCGCCCCCTGCCTCCCGCCGGGCGCCGCAGCCAACACGGGCGGTGCGCGCATCCCTGCCCACCGCAGCGCCCCGCACCGCCTGGGGCCGCACCGGCTTTGACTGCGCGATAGTCCGGCTGTATCTTCCCTACCCAACGTACCTCACTAAGGGGAGGCATTTCGGCGTGCCTTTTGTTTATTCATAACGCTCCCTTGAACGACGCGCACAGATCCTTCCTTGGACCAAATCAAGAGACGCGGCTCTTGAGGATGGGAAAAGCCATATCCGTGGCTGCTGCTGCCTCAGGTTTGTTCTGCAGTGCTTTTCTCGCTGCGATTAAGGAGACGCAGAGAAGATCTTCACAGGTGCTTTCAAGTGTGTTCGGATGTCCATTAATCTGCGTCTGGCTGCAGCCACCTGTTGGGCACCCTCTGCTCCTTCTATCGTGTCTGCTGTCTTTTATGCCTCACACTCTGGTTCTTCTACAGACCCTTCTTACACTTTTTTTTTTTTTTTTTCACCATTGTTTGGAAAAAAGAATAAAATCTAAAATCACATTTTTCCCCTTTGTTTTGAAAGAGACCATAACTTCCCTTAGCATGAATTTCTTCACTCCACCTTTTTTTCCTTTTCCAAATCTCATCCCGCTCTTCCTGGCTTTACTCATAACTCCATTGCTTACATCACTCACAACAATCCCTTTTTATCTCCATGCTTCTCCCTTCTCATGTTTGGCCACAGAGCTCCTGAGTGATGCCATTACCAAGTGGAAAATCGATGGGATTTGGCTCAGTGTGTGTAGGGAGATGGTAGGTGTTTGTATCTATTCTCACCTGGTCTAGTGGTTGGTGACCCTTCCTGTGGCAGGGGGGCTGAAACTACATGATTTTTGAGGTCCTTTTCAACCCAGGCCATTTGATGATTCTGTGATCAGATGCAAAGAGCACTAAAAATGATGGTATGTTCCTGCTCTGTCTCCTCTGCACATAAGGGAGATAAGACAGGAATGTTTCATTATGGGGCAGTCGTACAACAGTGGCTGTATCTCAGAGGATTTCAGGAAGCCCATCTGGCAGCATGGGCCGCAGTGCCTTCAGATTTCTCCATCTGAGGCCCATTTCAGAAGGCATAAAGGATCCATCCCGCTTTGCACTGGAAGAAGCTCTGTTTGCCCTTGGCAGCTGCAGTTCTCCTCCCCTCTCCGCTTACTGCAAGTGGCACAGCTTCCAAGAGAGACTGCTCAGAGGGTGAGCTAACAGCCACCCAACCCAGCTTTTATTTGTAAAGCTGACCACACTTCAGCACTTGGTTTCCCTTGCCTTTTTTAGAGCGCACAATTCTTCACCAATTGCAGAAGTGAATCCAAGTTGTGAATCCTCCACAGTTCCCCAGCACAATACAGAACCCCCACGTACACACAAGCAGATGCTCCACGTTCAGCCCTGCTGCACATCTTGGAAATCACATCTTGTGAGCCCAGTGCACATTTCTGTATTGGGAAAACTCTTCTGTATGGGGAAACAGACACCAGGCTGTTCTCAGAAGAACCCCCTGCAACCAACAGCACAGTGCCATTCTGTTCCACAAGCGTGAAGCCTTAACCCCTTCCAGTGTACAGGCAATAGAAGTTTCCCACTCCTCCTTCTTACTTTGAGCCATGCAGCATGCAGAAACCATTTCACAAAGTTAAACATTTATTAGGAACAGGAACTATTACAAAAAGATACCCATAGCCTAAATATATACAAGAAGTTTAAACATAGCATTTTCATGTACCCTTGGCTATAAAAATACATTAGATTAACTGTATCCTAATTTATAAATATAGTTTTGTTTTTTTTTTTCTTTTTTTTTTATAAAGTAGTATTTCATGGAAGCCTTACTGTGCAATGAAAGAATATATACCCTCTAAGGGGTTGTTTTAAAGTTAGTGTCTAGTGTTATATAATTTAGAAAATTCAGTGTGTAGAGTCAAACCCTGATTTATACAATAAGAGATACACTGACTTGCAAAACTTGATATGGGAAAAAAAAGAAGTTGAAATATATATTATACATATAAAGCCAAAATATTAGGACTGTAAGAACTTCAAATGATTTCAGTATTGACCACTGCTAATCAAAAGTGAATACAGAGATACATCAGGATAACCAGCCTTCTACTGTTTGCCTTACCTCCATCCTGCCTGACTGCAGCCCCAGTAAATCATCTGGTAGGCAAAAGTAAAACATTTGTCTGAGAAGACGTTTGAGCTTTAAGCGTATTACAAAAATAGAAGTTTATTTACAATGTTCCCATTTGGCCTTTTGTGGGGTAAGGGAGGACACTTCCTTTGTTGGATGGGGAGATGTGCCATCTCACACCACCATGGGAGGACAGGCACTTAGATGTACACAGCTGTTGGAGGTATGTCGTTTAAGTAATTAAGCAGTGTTGAAGTGCAAACTAATAAGGAAGTTTAGGTTCATGCAAACTTTTTCCTTAACTTACCATCGCCCACCTTCCTTCCTCCTGAAAAACATCCACTCATGCAATTGAACTCGTTACTGACAGCTACCTCTCTGATCACAGAAGTTACTGGTTAAGATCTTGCTTGTATCACAGAACAGAAGTTAGAACTTCATTTCTGCTTCAAGCCCTGACATCCAGAAAAACTCCAAGCAACAGTCTTCACCAGTGCTCCATGGAGAACTGCCCATGTTCCATAAGGAACCTGCATCGCTCTGCTTTCAGAGGATGAGCCTAACAAGATCAGATGAACTTCCTAATCAGCTGACACCACTAAATCCTGCTTACTTGGAGCTCCTGTAGACACGGAGCTTCTCATATATTTGTAAGTGGTTCTCCAGTACAGAATCAGGAAAGTAATGAAGCCAGGCACTGAGGACAGCAGATGGCTTTTCATTAACCTTGTAGTAAGCAACATCTGGGCATGCAAAGAAATGACTGCAGGAGATTCTAAGGCATGAACTTGGTGTGACAGCCACTCCATGGATGCTTTTCATGGAAGTGCATGCTCACACAACTGTAAGCCATAGACAATTTGTGGCAGTTTATTCCTCGGTGAAGGAACAGCTACAAGATGACAACACTTACTGCAAAGTGCTGACACATTTAAGTCCAGCCATAGTTCATTCCAGGCTAACTCATTTGTACACCTACATGCTTAACATTCGGTATGGGCTTAGGAGCACCTGCCTTTTTATACTGTACTTCCAGAAATCCATTTTAAGCTACATTCACAAAGGATAAAGAAGCAGTGAGAAGAACTCATAAGTTTTACTCTCACAATGATAGCTCTGGCTCAAGAAAATGAAGAGATGTTCACACAGTTACAGCGAGAGAGGAGGACAGCCTCTTGCAGCTCTCCTGCTCCCTCTCAGAAGGAGTGGTATAGGGTGTTTTCCATGGGATATCTATCATGCTACATGTTTAGAATTCAACTTTGTATCATCACGGTAAGTACAGTGCAAAATCCTCTTGCAAAAAGTGCTATAGTGAAGGTATGAGATACAATTGTGACTCAGTGGGAGCCAGAAGAGCTAACAAGCCTGTAACTTGCATTTACAGCATGTATGATTGTGCACACCAAAACATCAGGTTCAAAGGACATTTTAAAGTCTAGCTCTGTCAAGTGACATGCTGGCCCCAAAGGAGTCCTCTAAGAAACTCCCATCAATTTCATTCAGGGCTAGAATATCACCAGAATGGAAGATGCATGTATAATTAGAGAGACCAAGATAGCTCTTACAAAAAACCATTTCTTTACAGATCCTTCCTTGAAAGCTTGCACTCCCATCTAAAACTCCAGCTGCAGTCTTCACACAAACTCCATCAACGTCAGTTGTATTAGCCTTATCACACAAGTCCATTTATGCCAAGTGAAACCCAAGTGCATCTGAAGAAGTTTAACAATCAACTAATTGCTAATGGTACCAGAAGTCTCTTTAACATGCCAATGATGTTCAGGTCCTTTAGGGGTACAGTTTGAAAGCAGATGTCCTGCTAGCACTGTGACTGAGGAATATTTTAGACACAGGTAGCAGATGAGTGTTAAGCCAGGGACTTGTGCAGCACAAGTGTGTGCTATGCTGCCAGTAGGGTCAGTTAAATCAGTTTTCAGAGAGCCAGTTGACAAAATGGAGTCCAGTAGATTCAGTGATTCTAGAGGAATTAAGTTAGGCATTTCCATTTTCTTTCCTACCCCTCCCCTCCCACTTGCTCTGAACACGTCCCCAGTGCGTCACATTCAGAATGTCAGCATTTTTAGGCCTCCTGTTTTCATGGACTCTTCTGGGACAGTTTAATGGTGACTGTTTTCACTTCAGTATATTCTGCCAAAGCATATTCACCACTGGAAAAGAAGAGAGAGAAAGGGACAAGTAATTGTGTGCACTTCCTTAAGAGGTTTCTGCACAAGTGCATCATAGGCACAGATCAACAGTTGCTGTAGGTACTGCTGTAGGTCACTAAAACAAGATGTGAACTTGCACAAGATATCATTTTGGCTCACTGTCTCTAATAATCATGGCAAACATTCACATACATACAACTACACTGTCACAGAAGAAGCTTTGAATGCTTCTGGCCACAGTAACTCACAAGATGACATCTTATGACTCTCAGACTAGTGAAAACTGAATGCTATTCTGATAAGTCATAGAAAAAATAACCACACCAGTAAGCAAAAAGGCTTGCAAGTGGAATTGACTGTCATTAAGATTTTACAAAGCAGGTAAAGGTGATCCTGAATGAACTGCTCATGCCCCCATAGCTGTGCTGTTAATCCATGCTGCACTGGCCCAGCACCAACCTGCAGAGCACGCTGGAAGCATAAGTTTACAGGAAAATTCAACAATATTATCACCAAGTCACAATAATTACTGCATTTACAATTTACAAATAAAATACTGAGCAAAACTTACAGTTCTCTGCCATTTCCTGACATTTTAAAGCCACCAAAAGGAGCCTGTGCATACAGAGCATTGTAACAGTTGATCCTACAATGAGAACATCAGTTGTAAAAAGACGACAGCAAGGAGAAGCAAGGTGATGACAACAACAATGTTATATATATATAAAAAAAAAGGCTTTTGGTTTTCTTTTCAAACAGTTCATTTGCTTGAGAAAACAGATTTTAGCAATATAATCTTATTTTGCTACAGAAAGAGAAGACATTTGAGTGGTGCTCTGAGTCTGCCTCGTGTCTCAACTTCCTAGTCTCTAATATCTCAGACATCCATGCTTGAGCTGGATTTTATGGTTAGAATTGTGCTTAAAGGTAACTGAAAGCCCAGCCTAGCTCCTAATTTAATTCCAACATGATGTTGGAACTAAATGATCCTTAAGGTTCCTTCCCATCCAAGTCATTCTGTGATTCTAAAATAGACAGCTTTTGGAGTAAACGTGTTTAAATGCTCACCACCCACTTCCAGGTACAGAGAAAAAGTTGGCCTGCATTAGACACTTGTGTTGTAGTGAAGTTCTTCTACCCAGTTCTAATAAGCACTGGGTAGAAAGAGCTATTGCAGATACTTCCTCGGCAACTCAGTGAGATGAAATGACTGAAGAGAACTAGGTATGCTTTGGTGCTGTAGGACTGCACCTTCATGTATGTACAGCACATGTCTCCTTCAAAGCTTTAGCAAAGGGTTGCTAGTTAGGGTAGTATGGTTAGGTTGTGGTTGGACCCGATGATCCTTAAAGTCTTTTCCAACCTGAGCAATTTATGATTCTCTGATCTTGTTTTTTATGTATTTTTCAAAGAGGTAGATTCTTCTGGCACAAATTTCTGAAATCATTCCTCTGCACGCATAAAATTAGACACCAGATCAATATTCCTGTCTTCATTGGGAAAAAAAACCACAAATCAGTATTCCATCTTTAAAATTGTTTCAATTTAAGAAACATTGTAAGCAAAAATATCTACATATCTTTCCAACAGTGGTATGATGCCATCTACTGCCCATACTCCTTTGTGCAAGACCCCTTGTGATGCTGCCTTAAAATCATGAGCTGCGTTTTTTCTACACACATGGTTTTGGAAGACATCATATCTGGTGCAACTTGGTAAAACCCCTTCATTTTCTGAGTTATCCAGAAGTGAAGAATTACTGAATTAACAAATATACTATTTTATGCCAGAATGTCTGGTCTTCACCACTTCAGTCTGATAAATGGACATTGCTTTCGAGCAAAATATCAAGAATTAAAGAGACTCATGAATGTGACCTCCAGCACTTACACAGGTTTCCAAATTATACAGCCCTCCTCATTCCCAGCAAACAAAACACCAGGTTAAACTCATATTCCATCCTGCTTACCAGACAGTTCCCGACTGCAAAGCAGAAGCTAATGTCAATGCTCTGTCCAGGTTCTTTGTGAACACTGCAGCTGTGAGTCCATACTCAGTATTGTTGGCTCTTCTTATGACCTCTTCTATACTCTTGAACTTCATAATAGGCTGAACTGGCCCAAAAATCTGCACATCAATTAAATATTAACATAAGAAAGCCTTTCCTATTCATGGTAATTTTGAAGCAATCAGAAGCTCTGTTTGGATAATATAATTGAAACATTATATA